CCCCTTTTCTGGAGATAGAACACTGCAATACAAATAAACACTGATGATAGGCTAAAAAGAGGTCGTTGATATGTTAACATGTTAGATATAGAATAGAAATTACTTCAGAAGTTGAAGCTGGGTAAAAATAATTTAAAAATTGAGAGTAAATCAAACATTTACTAAAAACTGTTTTCAGATAGTTTCTTCAATTTCCTCTTGATTAAAAGATTAAAAGTATCGGACATTTTTAAGCTTACCGTGGTCTCTTTGACTACTGTGTTTTTTAATCGCTTATATCCCCATAACTTTGTATTGCCTATTAGTTGTAAATAGTGACAACATAAATGTTCCAAAACGGTTGTACCGTTCCGTATTTAAAAACAAAATGTGATGCTGTCGAATTGGTGTTTATCTCACTCGATCTTTATTCCTATGACAATGTTTGACTACTATCGTTTTGCGTAAAAGTTAAACAAAAGTGTATGACTCTTTACTTTTAAATTTCTTTTAAAACATTACATAACCGGTACATTTTTTAAAATCAAGGATCAATTTACTATTTATCCTTTTAAATTTACGAAACGATAACCTTTAGTTTGTAAGTGGTATAGATCTTCCAAAAATGTTTACTTAGCATAATTATATATTTTTCAAAGCTTTATATCCAATAACTTATTTACTATTTTGAATATATCGAATTTTAAATGCCGCAACACAGTACACTCTCTATAAATAAAAATGATTTTAAGATTTCTTTATCAAGATATGCTTTTTCTCATTATATGTTTTCTTTTCCTCTTATTTTAGTTTTCTTCAACCATGTGCTTTTTTTCTTAATTAGGACATCCAGACCTGCATTAACTTCACACAACGATATCTTATTGCAGATACAGGGGATAACGGTCCATTGGCCTCTTATTTATTCTTGTTATGGTATCGAAACTCGTTCACTCAATATGAGTGTTGAGATCTAAAAGACTATAGTTTAACCCTACTCGATATTCACGCCAGACGCGCGTTTCGTCTATAAAAGACTCACCAGTGACGCTCGAATAAAAAAAAGTTAAAATGGCCAAATATATATTAAGAAGTTGAAGAGCATTGAGGATTCAAAATTCCGAACGTCATCTATTCCTGAGAAAAAAAATTCTTAGTTTTTCGAAAAAAATCAAAGTTTTGTAAACAGTTCTTTTGATATATGAGTCAAGCCAGTGGAAGGCTCATTTTATATCTTGATGGTTTTTATTATTTAGAGTATTTTCTTTTTTATAGCTTATCTTTGCTAGTTTGTGTTTTAATTTATTCACAATTTAAAACATTTGGGAATAATAAGAGCTTTACATATGTTTTATTTTATAATCTGCACGTTCATGCGTGAGGGTCTGAATGGGGGAGGAGGTTCTTCGTGTCATTATTCTTTAACTGTTTAGACCATTTTTCTTTATTCTTCATTTTTGTCCATTATTCTCAATTCGGTTAACCCCATTCAAACTCTCATGTGTAAACAAACGCGTTGGTATCCACCGTTAGTTCAATACTGTCACCCCGTGTGAATAGGGGGAAAAAGTATTTTATTGACATATCCTATTATCTGACATGTTCAATGTAGAACATTTGAAGGATAATTGACATTTGAATTTTCAAAAAATTCACCCATGTACACCACATTTAAAAATACCTTTGAAAGTTTATTATCTTAATATAGATTGGAGCGTGCATTAGTACAGTCCGATTTTCCAATGATTATTGAAAGAGAGTTGTTACTTAAGTCTCGAATTTTTGTGATGTTTGACTTTAATTCAATTAAATGGATATATAATCAAATGATTTAACCTATGCATTTTTGACCGCAGTATAAACAATTTGCAATAGATTTAAAGAAATGATCTTTTCTTCGTAATACGAGAATATAACTCTAATATGTACATTGAATATATTCATTGAAAGTGACTGATTGCATATATTATTTTATAATTTGTTCACTGATACAAATAGGTATAATTATGTTTGTTTAATGCAGCCGTAAGATCTTTTAAAAGGAAACTAAACCATTAAAACATATATTTGAGCAGCCACTTTGGGACAAAAAATAAACCGTAAAATTTACAAGTTCGCAATAAAAGAGGGACGAAAGATACCAGAGGGACAGTCAAACTCATAGATCGAAAACAAACTGACAACGCCATGGCCGAAAATAAAAAGACAAACAGACAAATAATAGTACAGATGACACAACATAGAAAACCAAAGACTAAGCAACACGAACCCCACCAAAAACTGAGGGTGATCTCAGGTGCTCCGGAAGGGTAAGCAGATCCTGCTCCACATGTGGCACCCGTCGTGTTGCTTATGTTATTACAAATCCGGTAAATGTTTAATTTGGTAAGTCACATTCGTGAAAAGGGAGGGTATTGAAGTTACGACATAAGGAACATTATTTTATCCAATAAAGTGAACGTAAAATTTGGAATGCTGTGGTAATTACTAGAAATGGCTAATGTAGGACAAGGGATACAAATAAAGAAATTACACTGTTCAGATTTTTTATTCACACAGAAGTCATCAGAGAAATTTGTTCTTACAGAGGTTAGTTTTTTAAAGTTAGATTTACAAACTCATTTCTCATTATCCATTTGAATTTTTTTTTAGAATAAATTAACACTTCATTAATTTGGTGCGTTCGAAATGCTTTGCGGAGTTTCCTCCACCAGGAGCTCTTTTATTGAAATCATTAAAAGCCAGGGATGAATAAATACTTTGAAACCTCAGAAATTTATTTATTTTATACAATATTATTATCATTCTCCTGTGTAATATGCTAAAAGGGATATCGTATATCTACTGTCTGTTTGCATGGTTCATTGTTGCAACGGCTTTGCTGTAGGACATTCTTATTTTGCATGTTGTGTGTATATCATTTTCGAAATGCCCATATCATTAATATCTAGAATTAAATCATTTGTTGATAGAAAATCGCTTTAGAACTAATATCATTTGCCTTAAATTTTGGCATTTGGGGTTAGCGGTTTGATTAATTTTTTGTTGTGTTTTGAAATTGTTTGTCTTTTAGCCGTATTTCTCTTTCCATGGTGTTTCTTTTTTGCATCGACTTAGTCTTTGATCTCCCTCTTTTAAACTAGGAGACATTAAAGTACTTAGAAAAAGATGAATTAGAACAGTAAGTATTTAAATTTCGCAACCCGTTATGCTGTAGGCTGGTAATTGTTTCCAATTGTAGTAATTTATTATAGGTTTAAAGCTCTTCCTACATTGCGTGCAAAAATTAACTCCAGAGGGCTTAATTCTAATGTCCGAAAAAAATTCCTTAATAGGTTTTCAACCGAAATGGCATTCCAATATTTCTCAATAAAATTCAACATTTATGACAGCACGTGCTTTTCATGACAATTTCACAACAATGCATACGAAAACAAACGAAACATTTGCAATAACTCGTAATTTCATGGTTGTAGAATACAAATTTAATTATGAGAATTAAATGCTATTTTTTGTATTGAATCCGCGCTTCGGTCAACGCTTTTACACCCCAATAAAATTACAAAAGAAAACATTTAATTCTATATTGAAGTCATGTGAAATATATATGTCTACAGAATAGGGAAATCACAAAAATACTGAACTCCGAGGAAAATTCAAAAAGGAAAGTCCCTAATCAAATGGCAAAATCAAAAGCTCAAACACATCAAACGAATGGATATCAACCGTCATATTCCTGACTTGGTACAGGCATTTTCTTATGTAGAAAATGGTGGATTTAACCTGGTTTTATAGCTAGCTAAACCTCTCACTTGTATGACAGTCGCATCATATTCCATTATATTGACAACGATGCGTGAACTAAACAAACAGACACAATAGGTAAAACTGTCAAAAATAGGGGTACAGCAGTCAACATTGTGTTATCATCTTAATCACTATAAAAACAAACAAATGTAACAAAGAAGCACAAAAAGGAAATCACCAGAGGCCTTATATTCAGAAATAGTAACTACAAGTCTTTTATATTCCAAATACAAAAGGTTTTTTTTTTCTAAATGCAAATTTTAACATATGGGGTCAAACGAATACAAACCACAGTTCAATCACACAATAACTACAAAAACCAAGAAATTACCCCAGGCCAACTTTGCCTGCGGGAGTTGTCACCTTAGTTTCTCATACAAACGCACTTTAATCTATAATATGAACTTTGGAAATATTAGTTTACCTGCTAATCAACGAAAAAGAAGTTTTGATTTGTATGTTCTAAAAGGCTTTATGAGAATTGAACATCGGTATACTACTGTTGTTTCTACTTGAATATACAAATCTTAGAAAAATAGAGGGAATCGAGACTATTGACGTTCACAGTAAAAGCATCTCCTTTTTTGCATAAACCAAACGCTGTGTGAATCCGGTTTCAAATCAGACTAATATACCCTTAAATATTGTATAAAACATGAATATAACAATTTACATTTTGTTTTTCTTCCGAAGCGCTTTTCTGGATTAATCTTCATCAGGATAGCTCAAACAACACATAACGAAAGCCACTGATTTGTAAATATTTGAAAACACGAAGAGCTAATATATGACCACACGGGACCCAAAAGAATAGCTAAAATCATCTAAGGTCAACTGTTCATGAGGGAATTGAAACTTTAGTTTCTGATAACGACGCATTTTATTCTGATAAGGAAATGCACCAATGAGCTTTCAATTTGGAAATTTTAATCTACCTGCTTTGCAATCGTGAATTGTTTCTCTAAAACATATTATATGGATATTGACATTCATTCTGTCTTTACTTTAATTCATTTTGATTATTGTAAAAAAGACCACGATATGTTTGTACTACGTTTTCGATAGCCTTGTGAGATAGTATATAATATGAGATATAAGCCAATTTATATATCGCTACCTTTTGTGAATGGGAACAATTATTACAATGAACCTATTGAATTTTTTAATTCCATTTCAACTGCACTTTGCATATTAGTTCTGATCCATATGAATAGGTATATGTTAATTTTTCTATTTAGTCATCGCAAGTAAATTTTTGTTGATACAGGAATTTCAGCTCTGAAACGAAAATATTCTATGTAGCAAGTTGTGGATGAAAAATACAATTTAACAGTTATCGAACCTACTGCTTATTCGAAAGTTGCCATGGCAGATCCTGTATACGAATGCTGTAATTTTGAAACCAAAATGAAAATTGAAAATTTTGCAAAAAGAGAAGTAGGAGATAAAGTTCAATGGTCGATGCTTGGATGTAGTAACAAGTCACCAGTGAAATTTGTTTCTTCAGAGGTTTGTATGTTATTTGTAGTTTTACACCGTGTTCAATTATATGGTTAGGATAAGTATCACCCGATTAAACATTACGTTCTGGATATGTATAATATATTTGCTAATGGGCGCTAAGCAAACAGCAACAAACAATCAACCAATAAAATATAAACATATTTATTAGCAATATTTTACTCTTATCAACTCATTCTGGCAATAATGTAGAACGGAGAGTTATATGTAACTCGTTGTGAGTTAACTTGTTTTCCACACAAAAATCAGCTCGATTGAATATATTTACTTTTACAGATAATTTAATAGGAATTTGTTGAACAGTACAGAACGCGCTTTGTTATAATCTGGTCATTGTTTCAAATCGCTCATCATGATAACACAGAAGGTTAAATGCAAAAATCCGAACAATTTGCGTGGAAGGTCTTCAACTTAAAAACATGTTAGCACACTCCTATATCAATAAAAACTGTCGAATTGCTTGAATTGATATCTAATTAAACAATCATGTAAAATATATGCATATCAAAACCAAAAGGAGGCTTTCATTCCAGATGATTAATACTATTTTTCAATTTCAGCCTTATGAGACAAACAAATAAAAACAATGCGTGATTCGATAACATAATTGTTTGAAATAAAGAATTTAAAACAAGTATACACATTTAGCAAGCGAGGCGAAAGATACCAAAGGGACATTCAAACTCATAAGTCGAAAATAAACTGACAACGCAATGGCAAAAAACTAAAAGGACCAAAAGACAAACAACAGTATATAAACACAACATAGAAAATTAAAAACATCTTCTGTATAGAACTTACAGATATTTTGACTACAACTGATCATGTTAAAATGAGAAATTGAAAAAATGGTACCTATTGCAATATTTACATACCCTTTAGGAAGAGTAAAGGAATCTCAAATTCTATCATTTAATCCAAAAATGGAAAAAGTACCAAACACCATCATTTTAGATCTTGGCATTAATATTCAGATATAGCTTGAAAATCAAGCTTTATATACAAATGATAATGTGGGTAAACTATATTTCTGATGAGATCATGGTTCATTTTTTTTTTCACAAATACATTAATACTATGTGACATCTTTGTACTACCAAAGGAGGAGATTATCACAAGGGACAGAAAATCACCACAAGTAAAAAGAAATGCAAACAAACACCATGTCAAATGAAAAAAAAAAAAAACGACCAGATAAAATCACGAACCCAACTAGAAACAAACGGTGAGGTGATATGCTCCGGAAGGATAGAAGATCCTGCTCTACTTCTGGCACTCTCGTGCAGTGCATGACAAGTCAAACCGTGTCTGTTTAAATAAAAAGTCCTGAATTCACAAAAAGAGATAGGGACTATGGTTACGATAAGTATAACCATGATAATATATGTGAAAAGAGGAGGAAGCTTCAGGTACACAGCGGAACATTAAAAACAATAGGTTATTTGGTGGTATTCGTCTTGCTCAATCTTTATTTTTCTATGTTAATTTTGTGAACTGTTGTTTGATTCTTCGTCGTTTTTCCTTTTTTGGCCATTGCGTTGTCAGTTTGTCTTCGACTTATGTTTTTGAACTTCCCTTAGGTATCTTTCGCATAATGACTGGGAGATATATACTCCATATGCTTGCCATACTGGAATAGTGCTACATTAAAACTAAATGTCACCCTCTTTTGTTGTAAAATCGTTTCACAACCTCATTGATGGTTTCCCCTCACTACAATGGTCATAGATTCAGTTAACATGGTCATCAGACTGGATTATTCATTGAAAACATGTAATCATTATGCGAAAAAAGAAGTCAAAAGATAAACACAGCTTCTTAACAGACATTTTTGTATTTATAGAGAAGATAAAATTGAAAATGGAAACGGGGAATGTGTCAAAGAGACAACAACCCGACCAAAAAGCAGAAAACAGCCCAAGGCCACTAATGGGTCTTCAACACAGCGAGAAAATCCTGCACCCGGAGGCTGGCTTCTGCTGGCCTAATACGATATATTCTGGGTCAGTAATTCCATATATATCGTATTGGGTCACTAGCACACTATGTAACTTAAAATATTTTATTTTCAATTCGTGTTAAAATGCTTTTTCGTCATATATTTAGTCCTTTGTGCGATTATGCCGTTTTAGTAAAAACTAGGTTAAGTTTCTAAATGACAATAGATAGAACACATTTGTTATATATTTATTGTTCATTTAAGCTACTTTTTTGTTATTGGATTTAGTTAGTCGTTAGTCCATTGTAATTCCAATTACAAAAGAGTAATTCAATTAATAAGACAAACAATACAATTTTATGGTAGGTTAGTGTTACTTAAAGAAATTGTGAAGATAAATATACATAACGATAGTTATTTATCAACGGAGTGGTTATTTGTACGGAAATTGTTGTACACTACCAGTAAGACTTGTCGTTCTAAAAGAGAGGCGAAAGATACCAAAAGAACATTCAAACTCATAAGTTTAAAATAAACTGACAACACCATATGCATGGCAAAAAAAGAAATAAAAATCCTAAAGACAAACAACAGTACACACAACACAACATAGAAAACTAAATACTGACCAACACGATAACTATGAAACAAGTGTAAAAATTTACTAAGAAAATCATTATTAATTATCAGTTGATCCAGGAAATCATGATAGGAAATACAAGCACTGAAAAATAGTATCAACTGGGAGATGTATACTCCATATGCAGGCGTTGATGGAATATTGTTCCATTAAAATGGAAAGTTCACAATTAGGATGCTGAAATCATCTCTTTTATGTTAAAATTTGCTTCTCAACTGATCCTCATTGTCATGTTATAGAAAAAAAAACGAAACGAGAGCAGAATCGATTGTGTAAAAAAATATTTTATGAATATATCATAAGTCATACGAATATTATACTGTTTGGAAGGTTGTTTTCTAGAAATGCCCAGGGAATCCAAAGTATATAGATTTCACTTATTACTGTTTTGATGAACATTAGATCTTTTTAGTGATCACAATATAGTACTTTTTATATAGAGATGAATTATTTAAATGATAATACCCATTTAATACAAGGCTGTTTTGTCTAACCTCATAATGCATATGAACTTTTTTTTTACCGTAAGTATCCACTGTAATTTTCAGATATAATGGTCCTGAACATTTTAATTTATTTCAGTGTTGTAAATGTGGATGTAATGTCTTTTATCCGATATGGGCTACATTTTGGTTGTTGTACCATGTTATATGGATGTTAGTTGACTTTTCGATAAAAGAAACAGAAAAGAAGAAATCATATTTCATTTATCTAACACACTGGGGATATTTGCTGCTTATAATATATAACTTTATAGACTGCGTTGTAACTTGGATCGCGCACTGTAAAAAGAAGGAAAGTTTGCAACGTGAAGGCAAGTGACATATTTAAAGAGATTAATCGGGTGTATGACAAAAACTTCTTGTGTTTTGTGTTAATCATTAACAAAAATAATTTTGAATATAAAACTAAACATTTAAAATAAGGAAAGACGCAAACTAAGTAAACATAAGTAAAAACAAAAACAAGGACACAAAACATTAAATCATAAACAATCCGAATAACACAATATTACCCCCTTTTCCGACAAATATAATACGTATACAAACTAAAAGACAAAAATCTGAAAAACTAATTCTCATTATTAAATGTTACAACTTTTCACACATTTTCAAATCCCTCCCAAACTTCTTCGAGTGGAATAGCGATATGGTTACACCCAAAGAGATTATGATATCCTAATTTTTCATTATCTATATACAAAAAAATCTAATATTTCAACTTCCTGAGCATACAAAATATCACAAACAGGTACTTTTACAGACTTTCGATTCTGTAAATTTTGTAAAAAGAAGTCACACGTGACCCAATAACATTTCCACCTCGACAACATTTTATAAGTGGAAGGTGATCTCAGGAAAAAGTGTTAACAAAAATACCGAATTCCATTTCAAATTCAAAAAGGGGAAGTCCATAAAATCTGACAAAATCAAACGGTAGACTTTATCAAACAACAAAAGAAACTGTGATACATCCCCTGACTACATACGTGAGTACAATAAAAACTCTATGATAGCTCCAGTTTTATTAGCAAATTAATGCAATACCATATGAATATTTCTAGACTGTTTTCCGGGCTATTTATTTCCTATATTATTATGCATATTTAAACTACCCACCTTCCAATGGCATATAAACTATTAAGCGAACAGTAAAACTGTTGTTTTTTTCGCATTTGTAATTTCAATCCACTGATGTGAGAGCCCGAAGTAATGAGAACAATCTCAAATATTTATCAGACTATAGTTTTGATTGGACTTTTTGCATTAGAGTATTTGTGTATTTAAAAAAGGTAGCAGCTTGTTATATCAAACACCCAAACATTGCATACCAGTATATTAAATGTATGTGAATCGATTAATTGGCGGTCCTATATTAGTAACAAGGCTTCCAGATGTGCTTTGAATTTTTTCGATTTGGCTCACCTTGAGGTTTACGAAGTTCAAGGCTATATAGTACCAACACCTCGCATCCTTGAACCAAGTGTTGGACATTAAATATCATTCGTTCGGTAATTACGAGGATACGTTTGACCGAGTTGGAGAATATATGAAATCTTTTCGTACAGACCCCTTATCTCAGAAAATAAAAGTAGACTAATATGAAACTTAATCTGAAAATACTGGTTTTCCTAAAACAGGGTATACAACACAAAGAAATATATAAAAAACAACAAATACAAAACAGGAAAATAACACAAAGAAACAGCAAATCCCTTTATAACAGAAACAGGAATGTTAATCATTTCCTGCTCAACAAGTGGAAATCAGCCACTGCTGCTGTAGGTTTGTTCCCCGATGGTTTTACAAGCCCACAGTTGTCAGCCATTGCTGCTGTAGGTTTGCTCCCCGACGGTATTACAAGCCTACAGCAGCAGTGGCTGATTCTGTAGGTTTGCTCCCCGATGGTATTACAAGCCCACAGTTGTCAGCCACTGCTGATGAAGGTTTGCCCCCCGATGGTATTACAAGCCCACAGTTGTCAGCCACTGCTGCTGTAGGTTTGCTCCCCGATGGTATTACAAGCCCACAGTTGTCAGCCACTGCTGCTGTAGGTTTGCTCCCCGATGGTATTACAAGCCCACAGTTGTCAGCCACTGCTGGTGTAGGTTTGCTCCCCGATGATATTACAAGCCCACAGTTGTCAGCATTTCTGTTTTGAAATGAAATATCATGACATGGTCATTACGTTTTTCTTATAATCAACTGTTCCTTAAACTTTGAATTTTTCGAAATACTAAGGATTTTTTTCCCGAGGAATAGATTATCCTAGCTGTACTTTTCGGAATTTAGGGGCCTCAATGGTCTTTAACTTCATACTTTATTAGGTTTAACTTTTTTGGGATTCGAGCATCACTGATGAGTCTTTTGAAGCCGAAACGCGCGTCTAACGTTCAAAATTTAAGGGGTGGTATCTAGGAGGGTTTTTTTTGGCAATTTTTAAATCTTGTCACGTAAAATTACATCAGCATTTTATATATCGTTGTAGATATTAAGATGCCATGGTATTTGAAGTTGTCTTGGGTATTATTTAATACAAGTCATACAGCTGCATTGTGTATCACACCTGGATATTATTTAGCAACAGCTCTTTCTGATGAGATGCAAGTATGTAAGTATCTATGAGAGTAGCTTACCTGTGTGATTCTATGAAATTTAATATTATTTGTCAACTCTTTATCTATGTTTTGACTCCATGTTTTAATGATTCCGTTCAAAATAGAAGCAGATAGATTGAAGAATTTTTTAGCATTCTTTATTAAACAAACGTTAGAATAAATAATGTTATGCTATTTTTAAATGAACTACGTATGTCCAAATATTACAATAAATAAATATATTATTATTTCGATCGCACTGATATTCACCCATGTTAGTATATGCCATGTTTTGGTAATATTTAAGGGGGTACCCAACATTTTGACTAAAATAGATTTTGCTGGTTTAATTTTCATAAAATTTTTACAAAATAATTACTTTGACCTGTTGACAAAAATATCAAAATTTCAAAATAATTTGAACCACATAATTTACAGGAATAATTTCATTTGGTATATAGCAGTTTGACAAACACTAATTTTTATCATTGAGAAGCTTGATTTCACTCTACTAATACATGTAGTATGTGATTAAAACGTTCAGCTGATTTTTGTAGAGTTAACTCCTTTATGTGTTCTGTACCCCATTTTTTTTCTTTTTCAGCTTTAAGTCCATCAGGTATCGAGTTTCATGCAATAAATTCGGGGTACGTCGTTTTGAATATGTTTGTGTGTGCAAAAGAAATTCGTCTACCACATGTGACGTATTCAATGATATTTGGATCTATATATGAAATGTTTTCATTGATTTACCAACTTGGAATTGATAATGATCCTATATATCCACCATTGGATTGGAAAGACACAGTAAAGACTTCAGTTCTTGTAACCTTAGGCATTGTCGTGGGAATTCCATTAATAAATGGATTGTGTATTTTCGGATTGTACAAACTTCGCATCTGTTGTCGGAATCTCTGTAAAAAGTGCTGCGAAAGCAACAATTGTTTTCATGAATCCAGAATGTGTTGTGATGGACCCAGAGCGTGTTGTCATGGAGCCAAAGTGTGTTGTATGGGATCCAAAGTTGCAGACATTTCCAACACGGAGAGAAATGGCGGAAGCATTGTGACAAACACAACTAGAACTAACATAACGATGGTTTCAGCAGTCGAAGATGTTTAGGGATGTTCGCTCCTCTTGTTTTTGAATTTTTGCCAAATATTTGAAATCTTCTGGTTTTATCCATGTAGGGCCATTGAAAAATTTGCTAGCTAGCCCCTACTTTTCTTTTCATATTTTTATTACAAAAATCTTATAAAATTCTTGTTATTTTTTCAGTTTTTGAAAGAAAAAAGGTACCAATGTTAAATTTATGAAAAATCTGGAGAGGATCATTTCTCGCCAAATTTTCAATGGCTTATATCTAGAAAGCAAGCTCACGTACCCTTCATTTTTTCTGCTTTTTTAGGTCCTTTATTTATATACTATCAATTGATAACAGTGTTTTAAAAAGTTTGTTATTTTGAAACAAAGTAGCGAACGTCCTTAAACTAAGTTCTCTTTGACATTTTACATGAAAATGGCATGATTAATACGTTTTTCATGACATGAGAATTTATTATATCCCGAAGGACAAAATCTAAAATTAGGTTACTTTTCTATGCGTTTAATAGAAAAACAGATATCATTATTCTTAATCGATTATACCTTATTTATCAACTTTTGATATTATTTTTCGGAAAGTTATTTTTTTCCGATTCGATGTGATATTGAATTTAAGGTCGAGGTACAGTAGATGGTCTATATCACAGAAAATTTTGCATATAACTTGTGCGTTGAATTATAACTGAAAATCGATAAATTAGTGTATTTATTCCTTGTATTTTCTGAAATATTTCTGATTGAATTCTTTAAAAAAGGTGAAATATATGGACTTGAAATTGAAGATTTGACGACATAAAGTCAAAGTTAAGAACGTTTTTTGCCAGTTATATTTAACATTGCCATAAAAGCAGGAGGTTTGGCTACCCATAACACCAGGTTCAACCCACCATTTTCTTAAAATGTCCTGTATCAAGTCAGGAAAATGGCCATTGTTATATTATAGTTCGTTTCTGTGTGTGATACTTTTTAATGTTGTGTTTCTGTTGTATCGTAGTTCTCCTCTTATATTTGATGTGTTTCCCTCAGTTTTAGTTTGTAACCCGGATTTGTTTTTTCTCAATCAATTTATGAATTTCGAACAGCGGTGTACTCATGTTGCCTTTAATTATGTGCTTTCTATACAAATGATTACCTATTATGAAAGAATTCAATCAGTAATATTTAAGAAAGTAAGACAGATAGATGGATAATGTTTTCGATTTTCAGGTATGGTTTAGGAAGCCAAACTTGTATGCCTAATTTTACCAAAATCTATGACATAGCACAAGAACTATGAATTACTTTGCAATGTTAAGAAATATTAAGTTGCAAGAAAGCAACTTACAGTAAATCATTTCTAAAAATTAATAACATGCCACCTAAGTGGAAGTAGTAAAATAGATATTCCCGAACCGTGTAAATGGATTGTTGGCCATATTGGCCAATTGATAACTCGTAAAAAGGCAGGAGTAACATATCAAAAGTACAATTCTAATATGACGTGCTTCTTTAGCTTTGTAAACAAACCCATGATCGAAATCCAATTAAATTTGTTTGAACATGCGTATATTGACTACTGCAGAAAAATGAAATTTATCAAATTGGCATGCATTTAATATATTTCATTAATTTCAAACACTTTTAAACTATTAAATGATGCACATTTTGTTACTAATACTTTTAAAATGACAACAATGTGTTACAATTCGCAATTTACATATTTGACCTAGATACAGCAACGTTCATGTTGGCCGTTCAAAACCCCTCCCTCTGAAAAAACACATTGCATATATCGTCTGCTTGTTTACAAACAAAATGGAATACGCACGGACAATACCGTTGCAAATTGGGCTAAAAGTAGACCACAGAGGACAACTTTATAAGATTGTAGACCACCACAGACAAGAACATTCTGTTGTTCAATATGTAATTCAGTCTTTGTCATCTGGACAGACCAAGAGAGTATTTAGGCATGAAATTTGCGATGCCTCTGTCACTTCAATGTTTAATCGCCTCACAGAAGAAACCATATTCCAGTTTGAGCATGAGAGTTCACAATCAGATGACGAACTATCATCCATAACTTTCACTCAAGGTGTACCTGAACCAGTGGTAGAATCAGAACCAGTGTTAGAACCAGAACAATTGTTAGAACCAGAACCACCTCTAAAGAAACCAAGGTTCAAAGAAATAATGCCAAGCAGAGAGCACATAGATATGCTGGCTCAGGCCAGAGTGGAAGAGACAACTAAGCAACAAACTGATTGGGGAGTGCGCCTTTTCAGAGGTAAAAAAAAATTACTTGTACACAACAATATACTATCATCGTATTATGGGTTTTCTTGCTATTGAAAAAGCATGCATATAACAATTTCATTCGAAGTACGAAAGATATGATCTGACGATAAATAAAGTACAGGTTATTAATACTGTAGTACTGAAATGACAAAATTGTTTCATATATAATAAAATGGATTGAACCTAGCAGGGAATCGAACCCTATTCTCCTATTAAAAAAATAGGCGTAATTATCAATATACCACCAAGGTTTCCAATCCATTTACAAATGCAACAAGATGGTCATTCAGTTTAAATTTTAATTGTCATTAAAAAAACAAATCATGAACTAAAAATGTATCCATGATCATTGCATGTCGTGTGTATATGTACTACAATAAGACTATTCAGGAAGCTCAAATTTTAGATGAATATTGTGAATTTCAAGACAATGATCCAATGACGTAAAAAATATGTTTATCTTAAACCTCTGACTACACCACGCATTAATAAGACCTTTATTTTTTAATTTGTTAGCTTACATTTTTTCAACCTGAAAATATTTGTATATATTAGTATTTTAGTATTTAAGTTCACAAAGTTTGAAAGTCCCTTTTACACGTGTATGTATCAATCTAATATCTAGTAAAAAATAAGCATGAAATTTAAAAAAATTTTTATGAAAGTGTTGAAAAAAATTTGGTCTGCGAATCGGTTAACTGATAAAATAAAATAAAGAATAATGGCCTCAAAACATCATTCCTTTCCAAATTTGCATATTACAAATTTTAAAGTGAATATTCACATTAACTTTAATAGTAAAATAATTTTAAAATTATAATTTCAGGATGGTTGACAGAAAGACAGAAAACCAATACAATGACAAGTTTGAGGAACTTGAAAGATCCATATTAAACGACAGATTAAGCTTGCAAACAAAGAAAGGGACAGATTATTCCAAATCTGCATTAGTTGGAATACGTGCAGCAATATCCCGTCATCTCACAAGTCCACCATTTAACCGTAATGTTAATTTAATGAAAGATAATGCCTTTATGACATCTAATCATGTAATAACGGGAATGATTAAAACCCTCAAGAGAGACGACAAAGATGTTACGGTGCACAAAAACCCTGTAGCTGAAGGAGACGTACAGCGTTTGTGTTCCAGTGGGGTTTTTAACACAGATTCACCAGTAACACTACAAAATAAAGTTTTCTGGGACTTGATGTTAAATTTTGGTAGACGAGGACAGGAGGGGCTAAACAGCTTGAAAAAGTCATCTTTTGGAAAGTTCAAAGATGACAAGGGTCATACTTACTACAAAATGACATATAACGAGGCCAATAAAACTCACCATGGAGTTGATTCCCATGAAAACCGTCAAGAGCTCCGTATTTATGAAAAATCAGAAGATATAAACTGTCCAGTGGCAAGTTTGGATTTTTATTTATCTAAATTGAGTCCTAAATGTAATGCATTGTTTCAGCAGCAATTGCTTTATCCAAAACCAAATTGCTGGTATGCTAATCAAGCAATGGGGAAAAACAAATTGAGTTAAATGATGCCAAGGATTTCAAATGAAGCGGGCCTTTCCTACAGATACAACAATCATTGTATTAAAGATACCGTTGGTACTGGACTGAAACGCGCCGGGGTCGATGATTTAACTATCATGTTAGTAACGGGTCATAGAAACATTGAATCGTTAGAAAGTTACGTTGCTGGACCATCAGATGCACAAAGGCGTGCCCTTTCATCAACTTTACAGGGTGTAGCTACCGCAAGTAATGCCAATTGCAATGAATCCGTGTCAAAGGGCCCCTCCTGCCAAGTCGCGAATGTCAGCACTACTTTGTCAAGGAATCCTCTATCAGATATGAACATATTCACCAATGCTACAATTTCCGGCGGCACATGTACGATTAATTTAGTAAATAAAGACTTACCTGATTCCTCGTGTGCGTCCACCGCCATTGACAACTGACTTGTAAATGTGTGTTACAGAAATTGACCTCCAAAGTAGAAGACGTTCAATTATAACTTTTCTGTTATATAGTGACACGAATATTGTTCTTGTTAATAAATTTGTTAATTTCTGTTTCAATTTTGAATTTTAGATTTACAACTTTGCGAAATTAAACTGGTTCGAACTATTTTGATAAAAACTGACAGGGAGGTTCATGGAAGAGCCTACACAAACGCTCTTCACTTATACACATCGAACATAGAAATTACAGTAATTGTCCTAATCAGAATCGAAATAATTGATGCAAGCTATACTTTATTGTAGTTGTAACATGGGTAGGCATTATATTCGTGTTATTTTAACCCTCGCTATCGCTCGAGCAAAAATAATCACGAATATAATGCCTACCCATGTTAAAACTAAAATAAAGTATAGCTTGCATAAATTATTTCTTAAACAATAAAAGTCCAATGTTTTTCGACGAATGAATGAAATAGTTAATGGGAATATTGGTATAGAAAATGATTAGAAATAGATATAAATAGTAGGAGTTGTTTGGTATAACTTTTGAAATGGAAAAAGTGTGTGTAAATATATGTGTACGAGTTTTATATCATTTTTTTCTATAACATATTTTTGTTAAGTTCGTACAAGAAGTATTTTTTGAAATAATATACGTGTATCTACAATGTTATGCAATAAGTATTCGTCACCTGCAATTTGTCAGGATTCTTACGGCATTTATTGTGTTATTTTGATAAACCATATTTTGAAAGACACGCCATTTGCAGAACTGTCTGATTTTGTAATATTAATTTAAATCAATTAATTGTTGGGTTTCAGATGTTTCATTTTATCCTGATATGAACAAGTAAGATATTTTTTTTTTCAATTTAATACCCTTGTGCAAGGATTACAACTTTTTACATTATTGTATTACAAAAAATCAAGAATTAGTTAACATTGAGAGGAATATATACAGATAAAAGGTTTCTTTAGAAATCTTACAATAAAATATCTTCTATAAGCAATTTTATACATCTTTAAAATAATTTTGATATTTACAAAAGTATCTTATATAAGTATTTAAGGTAGATGAAGGTCTAACTTAAATTCAATGGAAAATTTTAATATTTTTCCAAAACAAAGTTGGGAATAGATTATACAAGGAAACAATTTTGTGTGTTGAAATGATAATTTAACGATAGGATTTTAAAATGAAATATGAGAAAAATAGTTCTTATAACATGCGTTGAAAAAAGAAATAGAATATAATGGGGTCATACGACTTGCTTTCTTGATTAAAAAAATAGGGAAAATTTTTAACACATTAATTAAGTAAGACTGTTTTTAGTTATCTCCCCTAATATGACAAGGAGGGGAAGAAATTTAATCAAACAAAACAAATATTCTGTTTTTCTAAAACCAATCGTAATAACAAGATGAACACATATGCTTTTCTAGATTGAGATGAAAAATCTTAGAAACTAACTACATTCCTTTCATATGACAAACGTCTCCCTTTATTCTTGACCCATTCGTTATTTTTGTTTATACAATTTACACTGTATTTTGTTCATTTAAATGCACTGACCGTTTGTAAACCGTGACTTTCTAGTCTGTGTCCTGTCCAGTATTAATATATTCCGTAGGCATACTGATTATTTACCGAGGGAACCAATCTAACTTTATACAGTCGCTCGCTGTATACAATCTTGTTTTGGACGTTGATATTCGATAGTAGTGAAAGAATTCTTCTAGGTCCGCTTCAAATTAATAATTTGGTCCAAATTGTTTCATTGTGCACAGTTTTATCAGTTGCATTATAAACCAGAATTATCAAACATAATGAACATGATCTCTAAAACATAAAACTTATTTGCGCTGACTCAAGATAATAATGCTCGACAGAGTCTCGTATTCTACTTGTCGCAATTCTATAATTTGAGACAATGTATTGTTATTCTTTATTTAATGACATATTTATTGTAAAAAAACATAACCTGAACAAGAAAGAGATTCTAATCTTCTGAAAATTCAACCATTAATACCATGTTTAAAATTGCCGTTGAAAGTTTCTAATCCATGTGCGCAGTCCTACAATTTATCTTTTAAATAATTATCGATTGCACACTGTGCATTAGAATTAAAATTTTCAAGTATTATCAAAAAATCTGTCAATAAACTAATAAGAAATCTTTCATCCGAAAATAACATGTTATAATGTTGATGCCTCCGAAGAGCTTTTTGTGATATTCCTACACCAGGAACTCTCAAACCCAGAAATCTGAAAGCTAACGCATGATAAGAATTAATCTAAGTACAGGGAGACAGCTATTCGACAAAAAAGACCCCCACCCCCAAAAAAAAACCAGCTAAATTTATCCAAGTTTAACAGGGAGTTTGAACCGTAGTTTTTAATAATTCATAAATGTATCAACGGCGAATTTAAGAAAGTCATGTTATACTAATGTCGATACTTTAACACTGACTACTGATATGATGATACCCTTTGGGATTTATTTCACCAGCAGCGAACCGGGTGATGCGAATTTATAATTACAATGTAATAATATTGATATTTAATAATATAATTATTAAATACTATATTGTATTTTGAATTGCATTGTAACCAATTTGCAAATCATTTAAAGAAATTCACTATCTATTGTAATTTTAAAAACAAAAAAAAATGAATATGCACATTGAATCTATTCATAAAAAGTAAACCATGTCAATTGTATTATTTCTAATTATTTTGTTTACTGATCCAAAAACAGTTGTTTTAGTTTTGTTTAACATTAGAACTTTGATATTGGAACATAAATCACAAAATAGATATCCGTGTGGCAAGTAGTGGAAGAAAAAAAAAACCTAGAAACACTGATTTCCTTTAGGAGTTTGCAATATTTTGAATGCAAACATTTAAAAAAAATATTTTAATAAAAATATGGAAAGTGTAGGACGTGGAACTGAAAAGAGGAAATTTAAATGTGCAGATTTTTGCTTTAATCACCATATACCAGAGACATTTGTAATTACACAGGTATGTTTTATAAATTATATTGACAAACTCATTGATCTTTATCTACGGTGTATATGCATTATGATAAAAATAAATTTCAAATATTCATACAAGATTGATTTAGTAATGATTTCTTAACACGTTTACATTGTATATAGCTTTGAGAAGCTTGATTTCTCTCTACTATGTGATTAAACTTTCAGCTACTTTTTAAAGAGTTAACTCCCTTAGGTGTTCTGTACCCTCTTAACACATTCACATTGTATATAGTAAATGTTTTGAAGAGTTACAAAAAGATGTTTCCTCCAGTTTTCTTTGTTTTATAGAATCATTTGAGGACTCACATTTAAAAACGTTGCATTTACATTTCAGACTTGTACATGTAGATGTGGCGGTGGTTTTTGGTATACAGCGTGGACTACATTATGCATGCTGTGGCATATTTCCTGGTTTATATATAGTTACATAAGACAACCTACCGATTTCTTTATTTATCTGACTAATTGGGGATACTCACTGCTTTTGTTATCTAACATCATAGACTGCTTTGCAACCTGCTATTTTCACCTTTTTGGGAAAGAAAAGTTAATACAAAATAATGGTGAGTGATAGTATTGATGCAACCGTACCTCGTGTTATCTCTGTGTTAAACGCAGGAATTCGGAAAGGTTCGGAGAGCCACTAGATCTGGCTTCAAAAGTTGGTCATTTATGAAGTTAATCATGTTTTTGAAAAGAACTTTTAAGTTGATTTTTGGAAATGGAGGTTCCAGGATTTTCAACATGGGGAAGGGGATCACCTTAGCTGTATTTGGCAAAACCTTTCGGAATGTTTGGTCCTCATTGGTCTTCAACTTCGTACTTTATTTGTCATCTTTAATTTTTTTGATTCGAGCCTAATTTATGAGTCTTTTGTAGACGAAACGCGCGTCTGGCGTACACAGTTTTAATCCTTGTATCTAAAATGAGTTTATTTAGCAATTTGATTCCATGTTAGCGAACTGCGTTTTTTTAAAGTCTCCAAGCCAACAGTTTTCATTTACTCTGCATGGTCAATTTGTTTCCGATCTATCTTAAATGTCTGAAGAACAAATAGTAAGTATAATCAAAGAAGGTCTGGATGGGGTTTACAGAAAAGAGAATAATGGACAAACTGTGCAGTATAAAGGGCTCACAAAATAAAGAATAGAGAAAGTAGGCCCAAAAAATAAAGCATAGAGAATAATTGGGCGTTAAAATATAAAGAATAGAGAATTACAGTCAAAATCTATAAAGAATAGAGAAAAATGGCCTAAAAAATTATATAATAGGGAAATGAAGACCCCCCTCCATCCACAACCATATCAAACGTAACAGCTACAGCGGAATACATGCAGCTTTGAAATCAGTTATAGACATATCACAAATTAAATTTAGTTTTTAAGATTTAATAAAATTGAGAATGGAAATGGGGAATGTGTCAAAGAGACAACAACCCGTCCATAGAGCAGACAACAGCCGAAGGCCACCAATGGGTCTTCAATGCAGCGAGAAACTCCCGCACCCGGAGGCGTCCTTCAGCTGGCCCCTGAACAAATATGTATACTAGTTCAGTGATAATGGACGTCATACTAAACTCCAAATTATACACAAGAAACTAAAATTAAAAATGATACAAGACTAACAAAGGCGCCAGAGGCTCCTGATTTGGGACAGGCGCAAACATGCGGCGGGTTTAAACATGTTTTTTGAGATCTCAACCCCCCCCCCCCCCCCTATACCTCTAGCTAATGTAGAAAAAAACAAACGCACAACAGTACGCACAGTAAAACTCAGTTTAAGAGAAGTCCGAGTCCGATGTCAGAATAGGAAACCAAAGAAAATAAACAAAATGACAATAATACATAAATAACAACAGACTACTAGCAGTTACTGACATGTCAGCTCCAGACCTCAATTAAACTGATTTAAAGATTATGTCTTCATCACATGAATATCAGGCACAATCCCTCCTGTTAGGGGTTTAGTATTATACCATCATAAAATATATGAGAAGAACATAACCCGTGTCATGCCAACAACTGGTTTTAGAATAAATATGTTTAATTCCGATGCAAAGACCCTATAAGTGAATCAATATTAAAGCCAAAATATGCAATCTTTAATGACCTGACAACAGTATCGTAACTATATCCCTTCTTAATAAGTCTGTTTAAAGGTTTTGTTAGCTTTTGAGGTGAATACTGACATTTTTGTGCTTTTAAAAGAATATTACCATAAAAGATTGGATGTGAAATACCCGAACGTATAAGATGTCTGCATGTTGAGTTATATTTACGAATGATGTCCTTATACCGATGATAAAATTTAGTAAATGTTTTGACTAGTTTATGATATCGAAAACCCTGGTGTAATAATTTTTCAGTAATACATAAATTTCTCTCGCTAAAATCTAATACGTTGTTACATACACGAGCGAATCGTACAAGTTGAGATATATAAACACCATTAAAATTTACATTCCATGTAGATAACAAAATTAACAATAATTAGCAGTATCGTCATTACCTGAGCATATTTCAAATCCTGGTGTTGGCCTTATTACTGTCACAGAGAGCATATAGACTTAACTGTTTAGAAATGAAATCATAGAAGCGCCAGCGTATATGTTTATTACTTGAGTTTATAAGATATATACCTTAGATTACGCCGTATTCTTATTAAATTAAATGGTTATATAATGCATGGTTTTACCGCCAAAATGAAAAGTGGTATGATTTCCAGAGACGAATATCCACCAGAGTCTGAATGCCGTGAATTTTAACAATTAAAGGTCACCTTACGACCTCAAACAAAAACCCATACCGTGTAGTCGGTTGTAAAAGGCCCCGAAGTGATAAAATGTGAATGATTCAAACAAGAAAACCAACGGCCTGATTTACGACAAGAAAATTAAACCAACAGCACTGTACCGTTCATTTTTTTCTTTCTAACATTTTTACTTTCAAAATTCAATGAATGATTGATTGTACCTATATGTATAGTTTCATAAGTGCTGATCCAATTTCTGTTGATAGATAATGAGCCTAAATGTGATATTGTGTACTTTTTGCTGTGCAGAAATTAACATTTGTGTATAAATAATCAAGACTTGTTATTGTAGAACGGAAAATGCCATGGTATTTATACCTTTCATGGGGTTTCTTTGAAACAAGCAATCCTGTTGCTTTATGTATAAGTATTGGATACCATGCAGCTAAAGTGGGATTTGGTGTAATGGAATACTGTAAGTACATATGAGGTTCTGGATGGAGTTTACATAATAAAGAATAATAGGCAAAAAATGCAGACTAATAGGCAAAAAATGCAGAATAATGGACCAAAAAAAAAAAAGAAAAGAATACAGAAATGAAGTGCCCCTATCCAAACCCTCACATATGGCGTTCGATATTCCAAAGATGTATTGAAATTTAATTGCTAGTTTGGAATCACTAGATAACAACATGATAGCATGGACAGTTAACTCTAACCAAATGTTAATGTGTTGCCCATGAGACGTTGCCTATAACATACATTTATCATTTACGGATAACTAGTCATATTATATGTTATTTAGGTCTCAGACAGGGTATATACATGCAGCTTCTTTCATTGGTACAAGTGGATTATCCACAAGATTCTATGTAAGAATCAGTTTCTCTTATGATCATCAAATAATTTTTCATTTTTGATAAACGAAAATTCCCTTCGAGTGCCTTCCTTATTCCGGATTTCTACGTCATACAAATATAAAGAAATCACTTTCTTTAACACTAGTTTTGCACATTTTGATTCATACAGAGAGCTGATATAGATTGTCACCTTTTAACTTAATCAACATCAGCAACCACAAATTGATTATTTTTTTTTAAAATGGGTCCAGAAAATGATAAATTGCTAAAGAATTAGAGAAATTATGTGTATATGATATATACACTGAAATTCTGATACCTGAATTACATATATATTACGGATTACCCCCGCCTTACTGTATTTTCCAGTACCAAGTACTTGTTGAACATTCACCATGCAGTATAAATATTTAGTACATGTTTCTTTATATTATATCTTTTACTTAAATAAATTTTTCTATAATATTTTTGCAATAAAGTATTTACCTTTTATATGCACTGGTTGTATGTTAGTGATTTTTTATGTATTTTGACCACAAGAAATATTGATATGCAACCTGATAATTAATTCATTGTGTGACGCATAATAAATGTTTGGGGCCTCGTTCGCCGTCTGGACTAAGTAGTTCTCTTCTGTATCTGTAGGCTATAGTCGTGAGTTTGAACCCCCTACGTGGCAGGTGCGTTTGACTCTAATGTTAATTGACTAGGATTTTCAATTTTCTTGCCGAAGGTCGGTGGTTCTCACACACATATGCATTTATGATCAAATATCATGAACATATCATACACAAAATAAAAACATTTGAAAAGGTACATTTTGAATTTAGCTTATATAACATACTAGTACTAGTATATGTTACTAATTTTATTTTTTTTCAGCTTCCACTCTATCAAGCATCGAGTTTCACATTGGGAATTCTGTCTATGTCATTCTGAATATGATTATATGTGCCAAGGAAGTACGTTTTCACCACGTGGTTTATTCCATGGTTTTTGGTATAATTTATGGGATATTTTCATTGATTTATCAACGTGTCTTTGAAAACGACCTTATATATCCGCCATTAGATTGGGAAAAGTCGACAACATTCTACCTATTTGCAGCAATAATAATTATTGGAATCCCTTATGTATATATTGTATTTATTTTCGCACTGTTTTGGGTGCGTTTACATTGCCGTCAATTATATGACATGCGTTTTCAATGGTGGCCATTATGTGTCGAGCGTCTTCATTGCTGTCGATTAAGTAACAAAGTGGCGGATGACTTCAATGTAGACAACACATGTACAGTTAGAAGAATAAACCACAATAGGACAAATGTGACGAGTGTAATGACAGTCGAAGATATTTAACCGAATATAAAGAATGAAAAATTTTGTTGCAGAATTACCAGAAATGAGTGTATTATTGGTTAACGATGTTCGCTCCTCTGTTTTAAAATAACAAGCTTTTTAAAAGACTGATATAAATTGATAGTATATGAATAATGGTACTTTAAAAGCAGAAAAAAATAATAAATGTCCCTGTCCTTGTTTTTGAGTTAAAAGCAATTAAAATTTGGCGGGAAATGATTTTTAACATTTTTCAAAAACTATGAAAACATATTAAGGATTTTATTCGGTTTAAAAAAAAATAGCTTTTGAAATTATACGTAATAAAATTATGAAAAGAAAATTGGGGTTAGCGGGAAAAATGTTTTATGACCTTAAATGGATAAAACTAGAGAATTTGGAATATCTGACAAAAGATCAACAACAAGAATGGCAAACATACTTAATGGGATATTTTTGTACATGCTGAAAGTGAAAACGTTTTCTGTCAGTGTAACACAGTATATATGCAATTAATTCTTGAGGACCATTGTTAACACTATCCTCCGATACTAATGTTTTCATTATATTATCATATTATTTACCTTATCGTACAATTAGCAGTCACTTACTTCTTTTTAAAGCCTCTTGCGAGAGTTATGGAACCTATTTAGTTTGTTCTTATGTCGTTGTATTACACCAGTTTCTCAGGTTATGGGAAGGATTTGGCGCAAGCAAACATGTTTCACTCCGCCATATTATGTATGTCCCTGTCCAAAGTCAGTCACCCGTAATTCAGTGGTTGTCGTTTGTTGCTGTATATCATGTAAACGCAGGTCTGGGCAACCACATCGTTACTCTCGTGATTTTGAAATAGATCCACAAAGTTGTCGGTATCAGATGAATTAAAAATTCTGACAGGCAAAACTTAGCACACGGAACCATAATTTATTTGCAGGTATATAAAATATAAAAATATCTATGTAGTTTTATTTACCAGCTAGTTTCATGATTTTGTTTTTGTATCATTAAAGTATATCATTTATTGTTGCTAGTTGCTTTTATTCTTAAACATTTAATGGTTTCGCTTATTGCCACTTTATTGATGTCAGTTGAATATTTCGAAGTTGAGATTATATGCTTTTCCACATTTCATAAACTTGAAAGAAAAATAATTGAGTGTAAAGTATTACTGTATATATATGTACGTGACTTGTACATGTAAAGTATTACTGTATATATATGTACGTGACTTGTACATGTAAAGTATTACTGTATATATATGTACGTGACTTGTACATGTAAAGTATTACTGTATATATATGTACGTGACTTGTACATGTGTAAACTATATACTTCTATAAAACATTTTCATATTTTTAATTCAGATGTCTCTGGTTCATGTTTTATAATCATAAAATATTGCATTTTATTCTTGTTGGATGTATTTTTCTTCTAATAGATATCAAAAATCCATTGTCGACAGAAGACTGGAGTTATCATCCATCTAAAAAATAATATTCTTTTTATTTGCTTGACTTGACTGACCAAACGGGAATCATTTGCGGAACAAAAATAGCCCGCCATTCTAGATCATGCGTGTCACCCTAAATTTTTTGTGGATGCAGACTATAGGTTTTTTTTTCATTTCTTTCTTCTGTCAATCGATCTGTTAGCCGTCTTTATTCGACTTATTATTTGAAAGCCTCTATCTTTTTTCTCAATTCAACTTCCTTTTATAGAAAAGAAACAGTTCGTGGTTATCTTTATTGAAGGCATATGAATAGCTAAGAGTAATCATTTTTCTCTTTCAATAAAACCTGGCCACCTCGATATAGTCAAGAGTGCTGAAATTGGATTTTGATCAGCAACAATGAAACATTAAGTCTACAACAATAAACAGTCGTCTATAAATATATATACACTATTGAAAACTCTAAATCCCCGCAATTCTAAACTAGTCTGAATAATTCAAACTATAAAAAAATAAATCATCGGAATTGCAAAATTTGTAAATATAAAAAAACAATAAGATATGACAAAAGAAATCAACTGACAACTTTCCATTCATGAAGCGAGGATGATTTTATTATTTTTAACACGCTTCATTTTAGATTCGTTAAGTGTCCTGATAACGGTACATAAAAACAGAAATCTTGTACTTCTGTGGTGTAAATCACCTGTTATAAATCAATAAAGTTAGAAACGTTTAACAATTACAAAATGTACCAATGTTAACTGAACTGCTTTTAAATATTAATCTAATTGAGATTTACTATTTCATCATTATAAAATTGACCCAAAAAAAGACCATACAAATGTATTCCTGAAATCGAGAAAAGACGGAACTCAATGAGTTAAAAACGGTTCGCGAAACTGATATGTGTTTGATATTGGCATGTTAAATTCATATATTTATTATATTTCCGTTCATAAATTTTGGCAACATTAGTTTACCAATTTTCAAATATCATAAATGGTTAAGGAGACACAAGTCAAGATAACAAACAAAAACTGAGTGAATCGTATGAAATCCAAAAGGAAAAAGACCGGCTGGAATGACGAATTAAGTGTCTTCTGCGATGCTGGTATCACCCGCCATAACGATTGGAGAGAAAAACATTTCAGTATTATTCAATTTTGAGGTCTTAAGGTAATTTTTTTCTTTTATTTATTTTGTTTGCCATGTTCTCTGTTTGTTATCTTTTTTTTTATTCTGTAAACCCCATCTAGTGTCTCATAAAGCAGTAGAAATCTATATGTGTAAGGGCATGTTGAGTAAGTAGAACACGAACGATGAATCATGCAGTAGATCGAGACTATTGGGAACTAATAAATCAAGTAGGTGAACGAATGCAAAGTGGTTTCCCAGCTGGTGGCACCGGTTTAGTATGAATTACTTTCCCTATCAAAATATGGATATGCTTGTCCCTTCTTCCGTTATTATATTGATTATTGTTTTATCGCTGTTCTTAATTGATATATAAAATAGATAAATAAATAAATAACTTATATATTTTCAAACACGTAGAAGAATTAGCAACATTTTCTGTTAATCGTCTAATTGTTTTATTATTTTTAAATATAATTATCCCTTCAAAATTTTCCGATTCTTCACCCTCACTTTATGACAATTCTTCTTAACGCAGGATATACACAATGAAGTTAAACACCAAGTCAAGATAGAAACGTATTACTACTACAGCATACTACGCTTTAGGATGGATTTTATCTCATTTCTTTATTTAACTACAATTTATCATACTAGTCTTATATTTTTTTGTATTTACCATAAAACATTTTACCACGATTAAATGGTATAAACAAAATGTCTTCGTTTACTGCATAAGTTGTCAATTGAAGGTAACTGGATATCTACATGTTTACGTAGATTTCCGCCATTGTTTTCTAAATTTACATTAAACAAAAACTTATGATACTATATTTTTTGAATGCCTACATAAACACACTTTTCCACAGGTAGATCTGCCTCATATTACAAAACGTAAAAAGATACAAACTTGTCTACCCTCCCTTTTTGTTTATAACCATAAATCTTTTGTTAAAAGGTGGACAACATTCCTTTTCTTGTATTAATGAAAAGGAAGTATTTTGTTTCAGAAAAAGTGGAAACTGGGAACATGAAATACCAATGGATATACTTATTTCTAAAATGCATGCATTTTATCTGTATAAATACAGGTAATTATTTATTTTTTTCTAGAAAATGTGGATAAATACAGATAAACACATCAATATACTATGTTAGCTTTCCTTCTTTTTGATGACGATGACGATCTAAAGATGAATGATCTATGATTCGAATCAATGGGTTTGTTTTGGTTTTTGTACTTTTTACTCTAATTTGTGCTTATTGTACTGTTAGTTTAGTTTAAAGTACGAAATATTCTATGAATTACGACCACCAATATGAGAAATACTATTTTATTTGTGAAATCCTGTATCATTGTATTTCCAGATGCAAAGTCCTTGGGAAGATTTATAAAACATTATGAAGAGTTAGAATACAGTACTAAAGACTTGCATTGTTTGGATTTACTTTCCAAGCGATCCCCCACCAATGAACCGTTCCAGTTTGCTTTCAATGCATTTCAACGGTATGTATTGTCATTGTTCATTTTAAAGTTAATCCAAATAAAAATATAAAGATATACTCAATATCGACTGAGTTAACATATAACTATCGTTATCTCTTCTGAAATAACATAAGATAGGAAAATAGAAAGCAAGGTAATAAAGATTAATCACGAATTATTATCATATGACGAATTTAATATTTTTTTAATCCATCAGATAAGTTTTCTTTATCGGTGGCAAATTAGAAAAAAATAAAACGATAAAGTTAACAGTAACTATGGAAAGATCACTGAATATATTATCGATCATGGCCATTAATATGGTTAAATAGGACAACAGGTGTAATAAATACGGTTTTGAAAATTTTTATCTAAATACTAAATGCATAGATAGGTTTCAACGGCTATAATTTTTGTCCTTTTTGGTTTATAAGACCTCATATGTTTAATAAGTGTTGGATTGCTAAATATTTTGGCATCTAACATCACTGAAGAGGCATTTATTGGCGAAATGCGGATCCGGTGCAGAAAAAAAAAACCATCGATACTGTTAATGGTTTTCAAATAGTCGGCTTTGGGCCTTCCTGGTGAAGGTAGATGCAAAAAAGCACTTCGGACGCCTGAAATCTATAAAGTGTGGTTTTCATTTTTTTCAGAGATTTTATCGTCGTTTTGGAGCCAGATGAGTCTGTATTTAGTAAAGATGCAGCATTAGAGATTACTGGTCCTTCAGATACATCACATATATATGTTGGACATGTGAAAGGTATAAAAGAAATGTGTAAAAATATGAGAACAGAAAGAAAAAGATATGATTGATTGATGTTAGATGTTTGCAAACAGTTTGAACAGCTTTATTGTGCTCATGTTATATCAAGGGTCTGATTTGCTTACAAAATGTTTTCCTGTGTGATAAATGGAGGTATCTTGTCTGTCCGTCCTTCCACCTGTCCGTCTATCTCCCCATTTGCCTTTTAAAGCAAACTAATATGTGTTTAACAGATACTGATGAAACTTAAAACAGTTAAAGAACTACCCGATGATGTACATAACGGAATATGAATCCGACCCAAAATAACTCGGACAATCCAATGCACTAGCTTCAATATTTGATGTGTATTATGAGGCCGGATGGGGTTTGGTTATCATAAGGACTTCACTTATCTCGATTGTTAATTATAAATATATTTGATAGTTTTTAACATCTGTTAACTACTGTTGTCTGTTATTTAGAAACAGCAACAACACAAACAACAAACAAACAAACAAACAACAACAACAACAACAATACAAACAACAGCAATAACAATAATGTTTCTACTTAAGAAGCTGCTGATAATGAGGATCATTGCTATTATTAAAAAATAGATCGAACTAGATAACGCTTTGTCGGTATTTTTAACATTGCCATATAAGCGCAGGTTTGGTTAGCCACAAAACCAGGTCTTCCCATAATGTTTTCTTAAAATGTCTTGTAGCAAGTCAGGAATATGAAAGTGGTTATGACATAGTCCGTTGCTTTGTATGTTGGCGTTTGTGTTTGTAGCAGTTCAGTGTTTTTGTTGTTCCGTTTTGGATCCTATTATAATCGAGGTGTTTCCCTCAGTTTTGGTTGTGTGACCCGGATTTGTTTCAGTTAAATCGATTGATGACTATTGTACAGCAGGATACTACTTTTGCCTTTATTTGAATTTGTCTGAGCGATCTTTTGGCCATTTCTATTATTTACCAAATAATTTGTTTTATTTTAGGATATAAAGGCAGTCGAGTATATGGATACATTTTGGAAGGATATTTCAATGGATCGATCAAAATTCCACAGGAAACGACATATTACATAGAACCAGCCAAAAGATTTATTGGTATATTTAAAGAGGATCCCAAAGCACATTCTGTTATTTATAAACAGGAGGATATTGTTTCAGATATGCAAAGGTACATACACATATTTTGACCATTTGAAATATGAATTAAATAGGGCATGTTAGGTATAAGTCATTTAGACAGATGCCACCCAACGAAATGAAACCAAAAGACAATCAGAGGTCAACATTACATTGACGGAAGTGAATTTTAACAAACATAACCAAATATATGTCATCAACAATAAATTCATCTATGAACAAAATCAGTAAGTGATAAGAAAGAAAACCGCGCGTCTTTTGATTTGCAGCTCTTCTATTAATTTCTGACATCGGTAAATCGGACTTCTAATTCTTTTCGTATTCTCCTTTTTTTGATTCTGATAAGCGAAATAATACAAGAATCGTTAAAAGGAAATGCACAACTTAAAACCTAATTGATTAACCGATTACAGACAAGCCTTCTTTTTCGTTGTAGAAAGATTCAATAATTTACAACTAGCCGGAATTAAAGTAGTGGTTTGAAGATAAGACTATACATTTCCAGATTCAGATCCCTTACCTAATTACGACCTGAACATGCCGAACTTCATCTTGGGTGACGACGCATTTGGGTTGAGAATCTTTTTAATGAAGCCATATTCTAGAGTGCTTTGACAAAGTAGTAGAGTCGTGGTTCGATCGAAGTAGACTTGTATTGAGATAGTTATGCGATCGGGAAGGTCGTGTTAAGTTCTTTCCAGACGTAGCAAGAGCGTGACAAGATCGTAACTAGAACGTCATACTGTCGTAGCGGAATCGTAGCAGGATCTTATCAAAATCATACCAAGGTCGTGAAATGAACGTGAAAACTATGAAACATTGAATGGTCAAGTCGACAATATCACGATCTGACCGCGATCCTTTTTTGTAAATCGTAATGGGATCTTCGTTGACTTGGTCTAGTGTGACGGGGGCTTTATGTAGATTACATATAAAATCAAGACTTTATGAGGATACAATTTTGTTATATCAAATAACGTAATAGAATATTAGATTAAAATACACAAAGAAAAATATTGCATAATTACATTGTGTTAGCGTAATATGATCTTCTACAAACTATTGTGTTATATTTGTTTTCTTAAATAAACGATCAAAACTATTAACATGAGGGTATGGAAGGGGTTACAGAATAGAGAATGATGACCAAAAAATAATGAATAGAGAAAAGTAGGATGTAAATGTATAAAGAATAATTTTGTGGGAAAATAAAAGAATTAAGTAACAATATAATAATACAGATATCAACGATGTACAGAATAAGGAAATCATGCATTGATTTAAAGATTAACGTAATAATGAAATCATTTTGTCATTAACATTTGACCGAATAAGAATACGTTTCACAGATAACAAAACACCCCCAAACTTTAAAGAAAACAGAAACTAATGATTCCTCTTCTGGACCCTTTTACATGTCACTCAAAAGATTTATTCTACTATTCACCTAACTTTTACAATACTAATACTCTGGATACTAAAAAAAAGGTTGCTTCGTAAAAAAAGGCGAATGACAAATTAAATTTCGCCGGAGTGACTTACAAATACTAGTAGCAATATTCTGTTAATTTTAAAAATGCTTAACAAGTGTATAATGATTAATTATAGGCAGAAATATCATTTAATTTCGGATGACATTCTCTCGTTCTTTCCTGAATTTTTTTTTACCAACGATATTGTCCGTATGGACTGCGCTGTTTTTTTGTGTTCAAATTTGAGAGTGTAGAGTTTTGTTCGAAGATCTGTTACATAATAAACGGAATCGTTCGATCATTCAACCGAAGGCAATCATGTCGTTAAGACGCATCATAGTGATTTAGATTTTTATGCAGGTTTCAAAAAGAATCAGACATTGAAGTAGCCTCTTCTTGGAACAATAAAGCGAATCAGTGGATGCAGAACGTTGTTAGGTCCGGTTTTACAAACACAGACGAAATGGTAATATTAATTAAAAAAAACCTTTCGGAACCAACAAGTTTATTTTAAATAGAAAATCTTACTTTAAGTAACACTGTATTGGTTATTGTGCCGTCTGTGTCACGATTGTGCTCTTAAGCCCAACTTGGTTCGAAACTAATACATAATATGACGGCATTACACCAATGACAGAAATAAGAACATCTTTCAAAGCAACGCATCCCTTACTTGCAAGTACGTTGTCGTTGTAGTGAAGCTTTCATTTGTGGGTATTAATTGTACATTTTCGTGATTGGAAATGGACATGGAATCTAATGATGAATGATTATATACTCAAAACGAATCGATTACAATTTCGAAATAGAATCTTTCCGGCTAATGTATCTGTCTCAAATATTCATGTTTTTCTATGAGGATTTAAATCTAATGTCCAATGGTCCAGCAAGTCAAAATAACGCAGTCAGAGTATTCTCGGACTAATTTTAGTAGTTATCATTTGTCCACGATTAAATACAAAATTAAACAAATTGTTAGCTACATGTGTAAACTTAATGATTTCTGTGACACACATCAACATAAGATTTCAAATTTATTTAAAACATATTTTGAAACTACAAGAAATAGTACTTTTTATTATATATTTGATTATATTTGTATTTTGCAGTCTTATTATAACAGAGAAAGGAAAAATCCAGAGCTAAACCACAGCAATGGCATTCACAACAGACACAAAAGGGAAACATTAGTTAACAAAAATACGTGTTTTCTCTACTTACAAGCAGACCCAATGTTATTCAATCAAATAAATTCAGCTTATAACGTATGTATTATCTTTTTGAGGCCTTCGGAATTCTTATACATTTTGTTCTGTTTACGTTTACTCAGGATGGATAAAACACATGCACCGCCTGAGTAAGACAAGTGTATTCTGTATTTTATTTAAGAATATTTGATCCATTTGTAAATTTTTACCAGATACTCGGAATACTCTGGTTTTATCCATGAAGTGTCAAAAGAAATTGCACGCTAACCCCTACTTTTCGTTTTATTATTTTATAACCATATAGTTGTAAAAGTCATGTTTGAAAATCTTATAAATTCTCTGTTTTTATTTCGTAGTCTTTGTTAAATGTATGAAAAACTAGAAAATCGTTTCCCGCCAAGCTTCCAATGGTTTATGTCTCTAAACAGTGCATTTTTTTCTGCGTTTTCAGTTCCTTTACCTATGTACTATCAATGTATAACAGTCTTTTACAAAATCATATTATTTTGAAACAGAGTAGCGAAAATCCTTCATTGCAAAATCATTCGTAACTCCCGCGAATCATAATTAAATTAATAATAAATAATAAGTAGATTAAAGTTAAATTTGTATTGACTAAATCTCTTACTTGCATATCCCGTATCCCGTTGAATGTGTTACAATGTTTAAACTAAGGAAAAAGTTATCAAAATTAAATAAACAAGACATTTAAAAGAAAATATAGCTATTACCTGTCGTTCTTGTTTATATTATAACAAAGCCCTTTATTGACATGAAATAAAAAAAAAAAAAAAAAATAACAAAAAACAAGAAAAAAACAAAAAAATCATACAAACCAACCAAAACATAATTAAAAACATCATTAGTATATTAAATGTTTATCATTTTCAAAATGAAAGGTTAAACATAAAATTCAGAATAGAAATTACAAATATCTTATAGTACTTCCTTAGATGTTTCTCTTTTACTGTTTAAAATTGAGAATGGAAATGGGGAATGTGTACATACACAAAAGGAATAGGATAACGATATAATCTGTTCATGGAATTATAAAAGATATTGAATATCATTTTTTTTAATTTTAGAATGAAGTATTAGCCATGAATGACATTATTGGACTGTTTAATACTCATGTTGATGCCATCAATACTATCTATGCTAATACGGTGTTTAGAACTTATGATAACAGTATAAGTTACAGTGGAGTAAGATTTAAAATACAAAAGATTAAGGTGAGTGCTATGATATAAACTTTACTGTTGTGTAAAGTAAAGGACGTATTTTAAGAGATGGTGACGTGGAAGAAAAGTTTGTTGGTGTTGTGGGGTTTGGACTAAATTTGGTACCGAACGTTTTCTTAATTACTTATATTCATAACTTCCATTTCTATGAAGCATCGTTCCATCAGCGCCTGCACATGGAGTATATATACCAAGTTGATACGATTTTCGGAGCTTGTGTCTTATCATGATCGTTGCTAACCAGGAAGACATTTAACCAAGGGTTCAAAATAATCAAGTTGAGGTCATCCCTTCAAACGTTTTACGGACGCCATTACGAGATTGTTGACCGTTATGGAATATCTGTGTAAGAGATTATCATGGATAAGTTGCAATTGTTGTAACTTCTATCCAGTCCTCTTTTCTCGAATTTGACATCACTGAATATTACATAACCAATATGATGGAGAAGTAATTATTTACCCTTCTAGAGCATCTGAGTTCATCAATTTTATTATTTTTACAAAATATTTGTTGAATTTGAAGGTAGACGTTTTCAACAAATTGTCGGCATTCCTATTGGAACGATACTTACGCCTCTCCTTGCCATCCTCATCTTATTTTCATATGATTCAGAGCTCTTTCGATGAGTCTTCTGTAGACAAAACGCGCGTCTGACGCATATAAAAAATTTCAATCCTGGTATCTATGATGAGTTTATTATCAGTCATTTTTCAAGTTAAATACAAGAAAATCAAAGAAGCTAAATCATTTAATTTCACATTCAGAAATATTGATAATGTTCTTTCCATTAATAATCGAAACTGTTCTGATTGGGTTCCATTAATATATATTACAGAATTAAAAATCAAAGAAACAACAGTCACGGCTTTCCCGCCTCATTTTTAGATTTATGTCTCGGACTTGACTTCGAATTTGACATAAGCGGTCAACTCAGTAGCAGAATCTATGACACACGAGACGATTTTAATTTTAAAATTACAAATTTGTTTCCACCTTAGCAGCAATAGACCAACTTCACCTGTATATGGGATGTACATTTCCAAATTCATTCGGTATTCAGAGCTACTCAGACTTTATAAAACGTCATTGGTATCTGACTAATAAGTTGATGGACCAGGGTTTTGTCACAGAACGTCTTGTCCATTTTCTTAATATAGTTTCGGAAGATAACAACGAACTTGTTGATATATATTCCGTATCAACTTCACAATTTAGACATGATGGTCTTGAAGTATAGATTTTTTGTACTGACGTGTATCATCTATATGAATCTATATGAATTATTCTAAATACTAAGGATTTTCTTATCCCAGGAAGATAACCTTAGCAATATTTGGCACAACTTTTTGGAATTTTGGGTCATCAATGCTCTTCATCTTTGTTTGTCTTTGTTTGCTATTTTGACCTGAGCGTCACTGGTGAGTCTTGTGTAGACGAAACATGCGTCTGGCGTATTAAATTATAAGCCTGGTACCTTTAATAGCTATTAAATAAAGGCAACAGTAGTATACCGCTGTTCGAAATTCATAAATCGATTGAGAAAAAACAAATCCGGGTTACAAACTAAAACTGAGGGAAACACATCAAATATAAGAGGAGAACAACGACACAACAGACACACAACATTCAAATGTAACACACACAGAAACGAACTATAATATAACAATGGCCATTTTCCTGACTTAGTACAGGACATTGTAAGGAAAAAATGGTGGGTTGAACCTGGTTTTGTGGCTAGCCAAACCTCCCGCTTTTATGGCAATGTTAAATATAACATTGAAATGACAACATTACATGACAGGACTACAATACAAATAAATGGGAGAACATATAGGACAGAGAAACATACAAATAAAAGCTAACAAAAGGTACCAGGTTTAAAATTTGATACGCAAGACGCGCGTTTCGTCCACACAAGACTAACCAGTGACGCTCAGATAAAAAAGTATGAAAGCCAACACAAGTACAAAGTTGAAGAGCATTGAGGACCAAAAGTTCCAAAAAGTTGTGCCAAATACGGCTAAGGTTATATGTCTGGGATAAGAAAATCCTTAGTATTAAGAATAATTCATACTTTTGTAAATAAAGGCAACAGTAGTATACCGCTGTTCGAAACTCATAAATCGATAGAGATAAAAACAAATCCGGGTTACAAACTAAAACTGAGGGAAATGGTAAACAGTAAATTTATAAAAATGACTATATAAAAGATATACATGATAACACCGAAGTGGTGACTAACTACAGAATAAAAACGGATACATAAATCAACATAAACCAGCACATAAAAATTCACAGCCAAGTTAGCCAAAGCGATCAACGCTAAAAAATGGTGATGTCACATTTGAATTTCTGAAATTTCCCCAAAATAGGATAGAATAAGGATAGAATTCAAGATTGGTTATAATACTCATATAACATTTATTAATAACAATGAAATTTACAATACTATTTAATATAAAATGTGGTAGTAATAAGATAATTAATAGTATTATCTAGCTATTTCGGTGTTTCTTCTAAATCAAACTGTAAACCAAATATATCGTATAAATTTAGTTGACCCAAACTAAAATCTAATTAACGAACAGGGTGATTAATAATCTTTACCATGACACACGAATACAACAGAAAAAAATAAGATTTACAACTACAAACGATAAGACATTTGACAAAATCTGATGAGAATAACAAATATAACATCAAAACTAAATACATGAGTTTTGGATAGAAAGGTACCGTGACACGTCTTATAGCAATGCGAATTCACACTCAGCAAAACAGTCACAATCGGGAATAAGTCACGTTCGGTAATTAAAAGATCAGACGATGTAATGTCAAACCACAATCTAACACGTGGTAAAAATGTCCTTAGTTAGTTTGGACAAAGACACATCGTATGGATCGACCAATTCGTGATGGTGTCCGTAAAATTTACGGAGTGTCATTTTTAATTTGTCCTCCTCATAACTTTGTTGGAGCAGTTTCTGCGTTAGGAGCACACTCCTGTATATGAAGTCCGTATAGCGTGAACATGCACGAGCATAACGTATCAACTGAGATATGTAAACACCATACGAAGGGGCAGATGGTATGTTACTGCTGAGAAATGGGAAATTGATAATTGGGAAGTTGAAATCATCCCGTTTATCATAGATTTTCGTTTGAAGTCGTCCATCTGTGTCAATATTGAGGAAAAGATCAAGGTATGAAGCAGTCCTTCTAGTATCAGTAGTATCCTTAATTTCAAGTTCACTGGGATATATGAGATGCAAGTATTGGCTGAAATATGGGTTATTCAATGATATGACATCATCAATATATCGGAAAGTAAAATTAAAGAATTTCGCAAGGTGCTTTTTCTTTTTGTCTTTTAGAAGGTTCTGAATGAATTCTGCTTCATACGAGTACAAAAACAAATCGGCCAGTAGGGGTGCACAATTAGTACCCATTGGAATACCGACTGTCTGTTGAAATATAAATCATCCAAACTCAACAAATATATTGTCGATCAAAAAGTCCAACATTTTGATAATATCATCTTCAGTATATTTTCTGGTAGATTCGGTGTGGTTCTTCACAAAATATGAATTATTGTAACCCAAAACAAGCAATTTGTATCCACGATTCCCATTTTTATCGAAAAAGCTCCGTTCACGAGATGGTGAAGTCGATCTTTCAACTGAGCATGGGGAATAGTAGTGTAAAGCGTAAAAAAATCAAAAGTCTCTATGTTGCTGCAAAATTGCAAAGATTGTGATCGAAGATTAAGCAGTAGATCTTTCGAATTTTTGAGAATCCACATCTGGTTAACACCACTGGTAGAATATATCTCATCACAATATTTTTGAAGCCCATCTTTAACTGTAGAAAGAATAGTAGTCAGTAGTTTAGAAAGATGTTTAGTCGAACATTTTGATGACCCAGCTATGTATCGTTCTTTATATGGAGTTTTGTGAAGTTTTGGTATCCAGTATAATGATGGTAAATTTTCTTTGTTTTCTTTGATGTTGATACCAAAAGAAAGACGGACAGATTTGTGATTTTGTATTAGCTTGTCGTATTGTTTATTTGTGTGTTTTTCTGTCCTGTATGTTCTTCCGTTTATTTGTATTGTAATCCTGTCATGTACTGTTGCCATTTTAGTGATATATTTAACATTGCCATAAAAGCGGGAGGTTTGGCTTGCCACAAAACCAGGTTCAACCCACCATTTTTTCTTTCAATGTCCTGTACCAAGTCAGGAAAATGGCTATTGTTATCTTATAGTTCGTTTCTGTGTGTGTTGCATTTTAGTGTTTCTGTTGTGTCGTTGTTCTCCTCTTATAGTTGATGTGTTTCCCTCAGTTTTAGTTTGTAACCCGGATTTGTTTTTTCTCAATCGATTTATGAATTTCGAACAGCGGTATACTACTGTTGCCTTTATCTATATTACGTGTAATAGTGTTCTTTTTCTTTTTCTTTTTTAATGTTAATAACCTTTACTTTTTCGTCCATTTTTGGTTAATCCTTTTGACGTGGCTGTAACAAGTCAGGAATATGACAGTTATTTTCCATTCGTTTGATGTGTTTGAGCTTTTGATTTTGTCATTTTATAAGGGACTTTCCGTTTTGAATTTTCATTGGAGTTCGTTTTTTTAGTTAATTTACTTTAAGTAATAGCGTTGTCAGGTCCTTTTCAAATTACATGTGTTCAATGTATTTTTGGTCTATCCCGCTCCTTTCTTTACGTCTATACCTTTCAAATCAAGAGTAAAAATTGATCATGCAATTGCAATAAAACAATTTCACTATTCCAATAGATGTACATATATACGTATAGATAAACCTATGCACTATCAGTACATTATACCAACATCTTCTTCTGATGTGATTTTAAAGCACTGTTTACACTAAAGTCGAAATCTTCTTTACAGTACAAAGGCGATGCTAATAACTTTTTTCAATTTAAAAAGACAACGACTGAAAATTCGATAAATAAAATTACTCAATTCAGAACATGGGAAAGATTCGGCTTTGTGTGTCATTAACTTATTTTCCGACTATGTCTTATATACAGCTGGAATTAGCAATTTTGTGCGAATATCATTGCTTTCTAACCTAGATAATGACAGACACAACGGAGAAGTGTTCAACCAGCCAAGCATCTAAGTTTTGCGATCACAATACAGATGTCGTCAACTTTCTTAACCTTCATTCGCAGTCTAATTATTCTGATTTCTGTCTGGCATATACCTTCACATACAGAGATTTTTCAAATGACAGCTTAGGTTTCGCATGGATGGGATACTCCGGTCGTAAGTTATTAGCTACTACTTCTTAAATTTTTTTGAAAATTATTTATAAGTTTATAATGTAGATAGGAATGTCCATTGTGTTTTTAACATGTCTTTTGTAGGGTAGTTATCATGTTTCATTTTAAACATACGTTAATTTTCCTTTGTTGTTTTTTTATACACAAGTATTTCATAGAAATATAAAGCATAATTGGTTTTTATTGTTATAGTTTCTGATCCGCAAACGTAAAGAATTCTAACTTATACCAGACATATCATTCACATCATCAAATTCTAAAAAAAATTCCTAATATCTTAAAAGAACAAATAAAAACTCAACAACTCTATCACTAGTGATATACAGGCTGTCAATTTTGGATTTACGAGAGATTTTAACATCCGGATATAACAGTTTCCCATATGAATATATAGGACGTCCTACTATGCACATAATTGACATACTAAGTACAATTATCTGCTTGCTCAGAAGTTTAGAACAAGATTGATTAGAATTCGCACCTGAATTTGCTCTTAATCTTGAATGCTGCAAGGAAACAACGAACACGTGATTGTTTCCCTTAATTAAAGGACCTAAATCTAAAACCTTTACTGCCGGAGCGGTTTTCATTCTTGGGTTTGCCGTCACCAGGAATGCATTTAAAAACCAGGATTATAAAATATTTGTGAACTTCATTAAAAATTTCCGCACAAATCAGTTTTGGTTGATGCATTGCAATCATATTTTGCAGAACCCGCTGGAGGCATATGTGACAAATATAAATCATTCACAGAAAATGGATTATCAGTGATGAAATCACTTAATACCGGTGTTGTTACTCTTCTGAATAACAACAATAGTCTAACACAACGGATGTCACAATTATCATTTGCTCATCAAGTAGGACACAGCTTCGGGTCACCAGTAAGTTTGAGATATTTTGAAAAGGGACATTGTTATGCTACGTATTTAGCTAATGATACGGTGTAGTTTTTTTTTGCGTTTTTTTACCTCCAGTGATAAAACTTATACACGTCTTCCTTTTTGCGTAACATCGTACTGAGTATGCATGAAAAAAAATGCTTATAAAGATGAAGAAGAGGAATAAAAGCCCTGTTCACTGATTTTTTTTTGATTTTTTCTATGCATTGTGTGCGATATTGTCCTATGTACATTTACCCCATATCGTTTTATTTCTTATGAAGGTTGAGCATTGTAAAATCAATTAATCCATCATTCCAAATCTCGAGTGCATGCATATATAGTATATTACTCCCAATTGATACAATAGGTTAGCAAGTATGTTCACCTGTTTCTGCGATAAAGGGTTGTTTCGCATACAAAAGCTATTTAAAAAGATTCAAAGTGGTAGCGACAAGTCATTGCTTACGAATATGCTACGAACGACACTAAGATTAGTTTGAGGCTGGTTTCTCCCTTGCAACACACGGGTATCTGAGACACAATTTTTCGGTCAGAGCCAAATAGATAGTACAGGTAATCAGTCTCGACTAGTTTAATCTTGATATAAATCCTGTGAAATTCTATATGCCTTGGTAAACCAAGCTAATTTTTGTTCAGACTGAATATAATGAAATAAGCTTTGTAATGGCATTACATTATAAAAGATGATAGATTGGTCTCGAATTATAATTCAAAAGTATTTTTCTTAAATATTCGATTTTGATAGAGAAAAAACTGCGTCTACGGATATCGTCATGTTTCAACTTATTCAAGGTATACATGTATCAAACTTCCGTTTTGTTGTATGATTCATTTATTTTTTTTTAAACTTGATGATATTTAATTTGATAGCATGATAGTGGAAACCTTTGTACTCCGTATGATAACAGTGCAGTAGATGCAGAACAAAGGAATTACATTATGAACGAGGAATTTATCAACGGAAATATGCAACACAATGACGAATTCTCTCCATGCAGCAAAGATAATATGACGAAAATGTTAGATAAAGTTTTTACAGACAGATTTGGCACAATAAACTGTTTCAAAAGTATGTTTCTTTAAATTAATTTTAGTCTGGAAGGGTCGGGTTGAAGTTAACAAGGTCTGAAAAGTCTGATCAATAAATTATCAGTCATGTTTAGCTTTTCAGTCAATTTTAAGACTTATCCACTGTGGTAAATTAGTACTGTTCAGACAATTCGCTTGCAGTCAATTCAGTACTCTTCAGTAGCATTTTAGACAATTCAGTATTCTGTTGATAATTCATGTAAAAAGCAGCTACTTAACAATCTGAAAACAGACTGAATAGATCTTAATCTAATCATCTATTGTTCAGTCTTTTAAAAGTTGTTCGGAACGAAATGAACGTTTCAGACCAAAATTGGTTTACTAGTTACATTTACATCAGTTTGAAAATAAATGTCATATGTTCAATTTTTTAATCACATTCCAGAAGACAGTGTTACAATAATATTAAGAAGGATGCAGACTCATGTTTTTAGAAACATGTAGAAAACACACACGCTTTGTCGGATTCCTATATTGATAGATAGATAGTAGGGATGTCAACTCGAAAAGAGTTAATAATCGAGTCATTGTTTGATTTACAGAGCACTGACGTGGATAAAATCTACAAAAATAACCCTCAATTATACACATTTTATCCCTGTTGGGCGTTATACCCTAGATAAATTATCATCTAGGAATAGAACATAGTCTAGTTTCACAATGACTTATAGATAATAAATAAGTTCTCATTAACTAAATTTATTAATTAGATAAACAAAAAAATAATCAATAATTTAATTAAAAAATGTTGAATATAATTGATTACAAAGTAAAACCTGATCAAACAATAGTTAAAATTTTTTGGTCGTAAAGAAAAACACATTTTCAAAGGTGTGATGAATAGAAATCACTGATGCGATCTAAAAAAAATTGAATATGATGGAAAGAAGAAGATATTGTTTAAACTGGAAACCGATTAGTGAAGTATCATGTTGGTATTCGAAACTCTGTACTGCCGAGCGATACCCGAATAATCGAGTACTTTTTGACATCTTTAATAAATAGGTATAAGATTACTAAATCCATTGGATGTTGGATGTGTACGGATTGATAATTTAGTCTTGGATGCATGATTTTTTTTATTAGTTGTTAGTGGCTTTGAACTAACTATCAGTAACTGCAAGTACTCTCAGATATGTACTTAGTGTCTTTTTGATGTTTGGATGTACAAGTACCAGGCCACGTCCACTTGTATTTGTAGTATTTTGTATTTTTATCCATCTGATGAGTTAAGCCTCTTTCAACTGATTTTTATAGTTCGTTCTTATGTTGTACTGTTACACCACTGTCCCAGGTTAGGGGGAGGGTTGGGATCCCGCTAACATGTTTAACCCCGCCACATTCTGTATGTATGTGCCTGTCCCAAGTCAACAGCCTGTAATTCAGTGGTTGTCGTTTGTTTATGTGTTACATATTTGTTTTTCGTTCATTTTTTGTACATAAATTAGGCCGTTAGTTTTCTCGTTTGAATTGTTTTACATTGTCATTTCGGGGCCTTTTATAGCTGACTGTGCGGTATGGGCTTTGCTCATTGTTGAAGGCCGTACGGTGACCTATAGTTGTTAAATTCTGTGTCATTTGGTCTCTTGTGGAGAGTTGTCTCATTGGCAATCATACCAAATCTTCTTTTTTATATGACGTCTTGTACATAACAACCATCCGTATTTAATAAATAGAATAGAGTAAATTAACACCCGGCCTCGTATACATAAGCCAATCAAAATATTGTATTTTTACGTGAAGTATAATAATGTAAAATATTATTTGTATCATTTGTCTGCCTCTTGTTACAGTGTAAACTGTCTAGAGTGTTAATAAAAGTTCAAGTTCTAAGATATTGTAAAATAACTTTTGTCACTTTTTGTATTAACGATATACTTTTTCGGGGATGAAAACTATTATTTCATAAGCTCGTATAATGTTTGATTCCATTCCACTATTGAATACCGTCAAACAATATCAAGACGAAGTACAAAAATGTATTTTTCATAAATAAATTTGCTTGTTGTTGTATTGTTTTTGATGATGAGTGATGGCTGTTTTAACGTACAGCGGACTTTTTTTCATTGTTTTTATGTTTTTGTTTTTTGTTTTGGTTCCATGGTTATATCACCCAATATATTCGTTTCGGACTGAGACAGAGACATATTAAGATAGTTCAAAAGAAAAAAAATGAATGATCCTTTTCCCGACAAGTGGCTCACGTACAAGCCTTTCTATGTAAACATTGTAGACATCTAAGTACCATTTAGCTACATTAAAATTAAACTTGAACATTCATTTTCAATATGACATTCTGTAGACAACACAATTACCATAAAAAATTACCATTTTCATGGAAAAAATATATAGTACCGAAATTGAAAGTCTGTCATTCAGAAAGCTCATATCTGGCCTATCATAGTATGTTGACGAAGTACAAGATTGGGTCAGAATGCCGGGCTAGCACATACCACCCGTTTGCTGTATATTTAAGATACCAAAGACCGCTAATAAAGTTCGATAACTGGTGTCAGACTAAATGACCAAGTTAAATAACTAATGCAAGACGAATAATTAGCCAGTTAGAGCTGCGGGATGTAATTAACACATCGCCCGAAACAGAGATACATCATACAATTATCTTTGAAGTCGACTGCGTTTCCATTCTTTTTAGATATACAATTCCTTGGTAGGACTCACCAAATCAATGAAAAATTAGTAAAGCGAACGAAAAATCAAACACATAAATGAGAAACAGGATAATCGAAAAGTTTTTATTCAAAAAGACTATGGTATTTTTTACCCATGTTATTAACTCGACCATTTTGTAAACTAGAATATACGTTCGAACACGAGCAAACATGCCCGAAGGATTCAAATCAACAAAAAGTAGAAAAAAAACACTGTGTGAGTCAACAGTTTTTACGTCTCCTGTTAAGCATGGATTGTAAATTCACTCTTTTTTGTAGTCCGTCACAAGGCAGCTGTTGCAATCCAGAAACTTGTGCACTATTTACAAATGGCCAGCTTTGTAGACCAGCAACAGACTGTGCTGCTGAATCAAACTGTACATATCCTTTATAACGTAACATAAAGTTGGGTACTTGTATGAACTAAAGTTGGATTAAAATTTTGTATAACACAATCATGAATTGTAAAAAAGCAGTACACGATCGGTCTAGTTCTATGCTTACATCTGCAAGTATTTAGACAAATTAGCAAATAATGTGTAGGACTGCTTTTCTAAATTAAAAAGAAATACGTGGTTTTTTGTACACTTTTTTACTGTTTAAACAAATACCCAATATTTATTTTTGTTCGTTTCAATTTTTGATTTTGTCATGTAAAGGGAAATAATTCCTTTAGTGAAAAATTTATAAAAGGAATGGTAATGAAATTTTCATTTTTTTACTTGTAGCAAGCAAACGAATTCGTTGACACCATTTTTTCTTTTTCTTTTCCTTAAGCATTCTATAAAACCTATCTTCACATATTATGTTCCAAAATTCTATCTCACAGTTTTCTTTTTATTAACAAAGTAGTTTTTCCTAGGTTATCTTAGCACAATTTGTCAATGTTGCTCAACTTGTAGCTTGATATGTAGCACGGTGGCCGTTACTTTTTATTATATTCTTGAAAATAAAAATATGATAAAATTAACATTTTGACAGAGTAAAAGAAAAATTTATCTGAAGAAATATATAGTGATGTTCACCTTAATGGTTCAATGTGCACATATCTGATTAAAATTCATTAGAAACACCAAGCTAAATGCGTTTGATTATGAAGTGTAATTTAAGGGCATACGATACAGTTTTGATCCCATAATGAAAAAATGATGAAAATTTGCAAATAGGCTATTTTTTACCTGATTAAATCAAATATGTAATAACAAATATACCTGCATGTGCTACTTTTTGAGTAAAATGAGTTCGAAATTTCAGATATTTGCTCAAAAATAGGATTTGTGGACGTATTTTTCCTTCCGACAGAAATGCATAACTTTTTTGTTTTAAAAGATAAACACAAGTTGTTTTTTGTTAAATTATTTGTAATTTCTGTTTTATATAAATATCCTATAAATTTATGAAATTTTTTGTTTAGAAATAACTCAAATTTATCAAATGTTCATGAATGTAGAAAAAAACGTCATTTTTGCTGTATATTTATCAAATTTAAAAAAAATTGCATTATTGACTTTTTCATGAAAATTGGTACAAATAATCTTCATACATAATCTACCCGAATGTCATTTTAAAAAAGAGGGGTCCGTGAACTCGTTTTCAAGTTAAATCAGTTTGAATGATAAAAATCAGTCGAAAAATACATCTTTTCCCGATATGTTACAGTTTGACGTCGCCAAAATAACATTTTATGTTAGCAACGTCATTACCTTCCCTGAAACTGTATCGTATGCCCTTAAGATAACAGTTTCTGAAGAAGTCAGATACGTAGTGAGAAACTTTAAAAGGGGGTTTCACGAGTGTTACAGTGGATAAATTGGTTCATTACTAACTTGCTTCAATCTTCTTTTAACTAACAATTTTATTTCAAATTCAACTTTTCGAATACTTGTGCCACTATCTTATCTGATAAAGACGAAACGGACATTAAACCCAATTGGTTTGTTTCTAAACAAGATTCAAGATTTTCAAGATTTTATTCATAACCATAGACACATACATGTGTACAAGAGGACAATATAATTACAAACTACATATTATATGATACATAGCGAGACAGGACAGACAAAAACAAATACATATAAAGTATGTTATAAAAGACAACAGAATGTCTTTTGTTTGTTCATCATACTTTACATTTTTATCAAGTGTTCTTGATTAAAGAGTGATATTGACAGTACTAGTATTTGAACCTTTTTGCAGCCATGTATTGTTTAGTGAAGTATTACTCAATCCAGTAGTGTGTTTTTGACTGGAGTATTTTTGTTTATCTTAAGTCACCTTTCATCAACTTCTCCCACCACCAGTAAATTTCTAGTCTTTCTGGAG